CCATATTGTCTCTTTCCTTGAAATCCTTGAGTACAACTTCGTATACTGTAGCATTAAGTATATCAAAACAATGTAAAACCATTTAAGAGAATGACAGCATTACAGAGTATTTAGAATCGACTAACAGAAAATGAATAATGGTTTCTGTATAATCTCCTTGTCTTTAAAAGGTTTTTGCTTATACTATCGTACATAATAAAATGCAGTAAGATACAACCTATTTAGACCATTGGAGACAGAAGGACAAAAGCTAGATGAGACTTCAAAACAAGATGATACTAAATCAGTGTTACCTATTAAGATGTCATTTTCTCCAAAATAGCTTTTCCTATCATCAATCTTCTCTGTCTCATTTCTGTTGAGCTCTTATTCTGTCAGTTACTGTCAGTTTGTCTTCTTCACTTTGTTCTCTGCTCCATTAGTTGTGGCCTCCACTATTTCTGGATTCTTTGTATTTTTCTTTTTTTAGAATATCCTGCAATACTCTCTGTAGGGTTGAATTGGTGGTTGCAAATTCCCCCAGTTCCTCTTTATCCTGGAAGCACCTTGTTTTTCCATCAATTTCCAGGGACAGTTGTGCAGGATATCTCAATCTTGGCTGGAGATTATTATCTTTCAAAGCTTGAATTATTTCCCCCCACGCTCTTCGTGATTTGATGGTTTGTGCAGAGAAATCTGCTGTAATTCTGATGGGTGCTCCCTTGTAAGTGGTCTGTTTCTTGTCTCTGACAGCTTTTAATATTCTGTTCTTGTATTGAATTTCTGGAATTTTTATTATTATATGCCTGGGTGTTGCTCTGTTTGGGTTGTAGGTAGCTGGGGTCCTGTATGCCTCATACATCTGAGTATCTTTACCTTTTGCTAAATTAGGAAAATTCTCCTGGATTATTTCTGTGAGTAGCTTTTGTAGTTCATTTGTTTGTGTCCCTACTTCTTCTTTTATGTTCTTAATCCTTAAGTTATGGATCCTCTTATCATCTTCTTGTCTTTGTATTATTGCTGTTTGTTTGTTATTTTTAAGAAGTTTTTCATTTCATTCTCCCATATTACAATTCTGCCCTCCAGTTCAGATAGTCTGTCCTTAGTTTCTTTCAAGCTGTTATGCCAGTCTTCGATAGACTTCTTAGTATCTTGGTAGTCCCTTTGAACCTGCTTCACATATTCTATGCTTTCCCTGTTTTCTCCATCAAACAATTCTCCCCTCTTTTTCTGTTCTTCCATTCCACCATCTGTTTTTTCTTGGGTGGGGCTTAGCATTTCTCTAACTATTTTGCATACTTCTAGCTTCAGGTCGTTGATAACTTCATTCCTGAATTGGTCTATGAGGCTCTCTATATGGTGCTTTATGTGTATTGGTGCGGTGTCCGCTATTGCCTGTTTCTCAGAATTGGGGGCCGAGGAGCCTTTCTTGTTGCTGCCTCTTCCCATATTCTCTGTTCCTAATATATGCAAGCTTATATGAGAGGCCCAGCTTCTCTCCCTGTCAGCCACAGTCTGATCGAATTGCGCCGGTTAGGTGTTCCCACTCACCACTGCACACCAGGCAGCCTACGCGGGGCCCGCCCCTCCCGGCCTCCGTCAGGCTCTGGGATCTGGGTTGGGCCAGCCTACGGGGTCCGCCGGCAGCGTCACGCAGGCCAGGCACTTTTCACCAATCCCGCCCGAGAGGGGAATGTGTCGCTGGAGTCGCCACTGCACCCTGCTCCCGCAGGACTGCTCGGGCCCAGAAAGTCCGCTGGAGTCAAACTGTGGTGGAGTGTCAGTTTCTCTCACTCACCTCGCCACAAGTCAGTGCACGCCTCCCTGCCTGTCCTGTTTTCGACTCCGTTCTCAGACTCCCGTTCTCAGAGTTTCCGCGCGTCTCTCTCCTTGCCGAGCCGATGTAGAGGCAGCCAGCCACCGCGCGGTGGGAAACCCAAATCGCGGCTTCCAATGGCGCAGGGTCCAGCCTCAGCAGCGAGACTTTTCTGTTCCTGTTTTAGCACCAGGACTGCATTCCAAGTTGGTTTCTCTCAGCCGAGTTCGTTCCTGAGTCAGCAGAGCATAACTCCACCTGCTTATGTCTCTTTAGTCCGCACCATACCTGGCTTCTGAGCCTAGTTTTTCAGAGAGCCTCCGGTAGTTGCTGTTATCTGTCCGCCATGTTCTCCCGGAAGTCTGGAACTCGGTTTGATTTTTTTTAAAAAAAATGTTTAAAGATTTAACAGCCTTTATTTATCAGCTTAATTTAATTTAACAGCTTAATTTAATTTAACAGCTTTTATTCACTTTAAATTTCCAAGCATGATAACAACTTAAATTAATCAGGATATTTACATCTGTGGAAGTCTCATTTTGTGTTTGGTGTAACTCATGGAGGCTGTTGGCTGGCGCACTGGGGTCTTCTCATCCGCCTTTTCATTGTCTTGTAGTTAGATGGGGCTTGTCCACGCGGATCTCAGAGCAGAGCTGGGAGTGGGTGAGGGCAGAGACTAAGAGACCTCTTGAGGTCGAGGTCTGTAAGTCCCACAGTGTTATTTCTGCTGAACCTGCTGGCCAAAGCAGGTTATGAGACTGTCTAGGTTCAAAGGATGGGCAAAAGCACTGCACCTGTTTTGTTTTGTTTTGTTTTTTACATCGTATCTCTCAATGGAAGAAATATCAAGTTATATTGCAAAGGTGTGTAGATGTTCTTATAGGGATTGGCCAACTCACTGAGACCATATTTGCAAGAAATCTATCCCAGTCCTAATTCTCATGGTTCAAGAGATCACTCTATCCAAAAAGCCGATGTGTTGAGCATTGGGATGGGATAGGAAAAAAGTAAGGCCTTTCCTCTGTCTATAGAGAGATATGTTCCCAGAGTTGTACACATCCCATCACTGATTAGAATTTAGATATCTAGCTGTCTTGGTTATTTTTCTCTTGTTGCTGAGACAAAATACCTGATGCTCAGACTGATGGAAAAAAAGGTTTATTTAGCTTATAGTTTGTGGAGGTTTCAGTCCATTGTCATCTGACTGCAAGGCAGGGTAGCATGGCACTGGGGCAACACTTCAAGGCAGCAGCCAGAAAAAACAGCTAGAGCCAAAGAGAGGTAGAACAAGCTTCTGTGACACCCTTGTGTTGTAGACAGATTCCCTTCTCCCAGCAAGGCCGGTGTAGCACTCACACCACCTCTGTGCCTTCCTCTTGCACAGACTGAAGATGCTTATAAAATAAGGATCCTGGCTCCCTGCTGAGTCTCTTAGTTAAATTTCTAAACTTCTCAAATTGACACAATGTAGCAACCATAGCAGTGGCCATAGCTAGCTATAAGAAAGGTTGGAGCTGGGCATAGCTGGGCGTGGTGGTACATGTCTATAATCCCAGCATTTGGGAGGCTGAGGCAGGAGGATCATTATGAGTTCAAGACCAGCCTGGGCAACAAAGTGAGCTCAAATTCAGCCTGAACTGGATAGTGAGACCCTGTCTCAAAAAGACACACACACACACACACACAGACACACACACACACACACAAAAGAAGTATAATCTTTATCCCAAGCAGCCAAGTGTCAGGTAAAAAAATATAGATTCTAATACTGTAGAAGAATAGATTTCGTTGAGACAGATGCAATTCATTGACATATCAAATTAATTCTATACTCCCCAAAAATATTTTCACCTCATCAACATTTCTTAATTTCTACTTCCCTTGCTGGTCCAACACCAGTTCTGACCATCTCCTGTCATATCTGGGCCACAGAAATAATATCCTCATAACTACTGTGTTTGCTTCCCTATAATTCATGCATCACACTACAGAATATAAGACTGAGCACCCCATTCTTACACCTGAAACACTCCATGAGTTTCTGTAATGCACAATGCAGTGTCTCTGGACCCATCATTGTAAGCAAAAGAAGATAAATTATATGATGTGTTCTCACAAAATTTCTGGTCATGATGCAGGGATAGATGTAGAAATCAAGCAGAAGAAAGAGAGGTGAGTAGCAGCATGAAAGGAAACCAAGCCACAACCCTGCCTTTGTCACTCGACACTGCCATGAATGGAACTGGAAACCACTGAATTAGATTGTTGGATAAAACAGTTATGCTGGAATTGCAGATGATGATTATTTTAGCGTAAATATGTTCCATGCAGTATTTGAGGCAAATTAAACTTGAAAACTAAAATTTTTTGTTATTATGAAATTTAGTTTAACTGGCTTTCACTTTTATATCTGTCACATTAAATCTGATGTCTCTGCCTAGGATGTCTCAAAGCTGTTGTCACATGCTGTCTTTATAAACTAAAATTTTTTGTTATTATGAAATTTAGATTTAACTGGCTTTTACTTCTATATTTTTCACATTAAATCTGATGTCTCTGCCCAGGATGTCCGAAAGCTGTTGTCACATGCTGTCCTTATAAACTAGCCACCACCTGCCAACAAGTGGATTTTCCAGGTGGTCTTGGGCTTTTTCGATTATAGGTTCTGAGAGGAACCTGACTATGACCTGGAGAGGCCATGTAACAAGCTCTGCCCCAGCTGTAGAGGAGGTCAGGAAGCCCACGGTGTCTTTAGCGTTATTAGTGTGAAGCAGTATCTACTGTCCACTAAATATTAAATTTTTCAAACCTAACGGTGGGGCAGTAGAGGTTCTAATATTGGGACCCAGAGACCAGTGCCTGCCCTATTTGCATTTTGATGTACATTCCTTTGTTATTCTTTGTTCTTGTCTGCTGGACTAGGATTTGGGGACATGATTTTTTTGGGGAGGATGCATGATTAATATAATTTTGTCAGTGACTTTAAGTCCAAGAACCTGGTCTTAAACCAGTTAGCAGAGTGAAAAGTTTGTGGGAAGGGTCTAGGAAAAGTTACTTTCTTCCTCAGCCCTCCAACCTGTATAAAGAGATGATCCTGAGCTGGGAGTGAGGTTCAGTCCATGGCAGAGGGCTCACTCAGCATACTTGAGACCTCTGCTTGATGTTCAGCAGGGCAAAAATAAAAAAGACTCTCATTTTCCTCCAGATATCGTTTTGTATACTGGTGAACCCTGGGAATTCTGTGGAAATCTTGCTTCCAGCCCAAGATGCAGAACGTAGAAAAATGTCTGAATGCAGTATGGTAATTATTGAGAATGGAGCAGCAACCAATGGATTCATTTCTCTGAAGCCTATTCCACATCTGGACATCTGGTTATGTGCACAAATACATTTTGATTTGTCTTATGCAACTTCAAGTTGGGTGTTCTGTGACTTATAGCCAAAAGTAACCCAACTGAAGAGAGGATTCATGAATATGTGAGGCACTTTGGTAAGTTTACCATTTATTGTGTTCTGAAAATTCAGCATAATATTGTTTTGATTGAATGCAGAATTATTGCCACTATGAAGTTTTGTGGCAATGATTAGTATTTAAATTAATGCAACACAAACAAGTAGAGATATGCTTCATTAGACCAGAGGAAGAGACAGTTTATAATTATTGCCAGATTCTTGCTGTTTTAGCATGAATGCCAGGAGGATGAGACTGCCTCTCAGAGTGTAAGTACCCTCTGAAGACAGAAACATATTTAAATTTCTGGAAAGGCCTACAGTGCAAAAATAAATAATATTTTCTAAAACACTGCCTTGCCCCTTCTTCTTTCTTCATATGGTGGACAGCTGCTGCTTTGGTCTGCTGTGCAGCCAATTGTTTTCTTTCTTTTGTTTGTTTGTTTTTTCTTTCCTTCCTTCTTTGTCTGTTTTTCTTGCTTTTCCTTTGTGTTTCTCCCTCCTCTCCCATACCCTGTTTTCCTGCTGGGACCAGCCATGCAGGTAGCATATCTGCTACCTACCATTAGCCCCAAAGGTAGGTAGGTAGCTTCAGGCCATTTCAACTTGAACAAGAATTCACGTCTCTAGAGAGTGATGCAAGAGGGAACACCTTCTCAGAGTCATTCCCAAAAGGACTCTCCCTGTGCCACTGTACTCACAATCCCCATAAACCCCTGATTTCCATCCTTTCTGAGGCTTGATTCTAGGGACCCTGCAGTGGCTTTGCTCAAGGTGATGCTACGATTTGGCTATGGATTGAATGTGCTTCCCAAGAGCTCAGATGCTGGCAGCCTGGTTCTCAGAATGATGGTGGTGGGAGGCTGCAGGGTGGACCTGTAAGAAGTAAACCCTAGTGCAAGGTGATTGGGACTTTGGAGGGAATTGTCCCTGGAAGGGATTGGGAGTCCTCATGAGGCCCCCCTAGGTTCTTACAAGAGAGATTGTTATAAAAGAACTAGACTGGATCTTCCTCACTCTCTGTCTGGGCCTCTGTCTCATGTAATATCTTCCTCTTGCACACATTCTTACGACAGTGTCTCTGCCATGGTAAAATGTAGCCACTGGGGTCCTAACCATAACCGAGCAAATGTCGGTTTCATGCTCCCAAACCTACAGATCTTTGAGCCAAGTAAATCTTTCTTTATAAAGTACCCAGCCTCAGATATTTTTGTTATAGCTGTAGAAAGTGAATCAGTACAGAAAGCCAATATTTCTGCTACATGCCACCAAAAACCTTAGGTAATGCTCTCCACCAAATGATCCTTAAACAAAATTAAGCCTTTGTGTACATTTTTTGTTTTCATTGGAAATCTGTAAATACAAGCCTGATAGTAATAATAATAGTAATTTTCATTGTGTGCTTAAACTATCATATAATTAATTATTATCAAAAGTTAATTGGAAGCTAAATTGCATTTAGTCTTTTTGGTGCTTACTAGCATTTATTGTGTACAAAGCACTGCTTATTTGTTTAATTCTCATTGCAATCTAGCACACATGCTGTTATACCTATTTTACAGATTTTGAAGCTGGAACACAGAAAGGTTATGAGCTGCAATCCAAACCATGACACTCTGAGACTTCAGTCTGTGTTCTTTCCCATTTTGTAAAATTTAGCATCATCCACCCCTGATGAATAATATTCTATATATGTAAAAGCATTTAATAATAGAATGTCCTTCTGGCCAGAAGCAAAAGTCAAAAAGAAGAGTCTGAAAGTCCCTGGGTTCCAATTTTTTAAAATTTTTGAGCCAAATAGAAACTGCTTGGGATTTCGAAGGGGAAACATGCTCATCTTGCGAGTTAGCAAAAACAAACCAAACCTGGACACTTGCTGTTTCTCTTCTTTGCCAAGGATATCCATGGGCAGCCTTGATGTAACAAGTGATAGTAACTGACATGGATTATAAGTAATTATTTAATTTTTGTGTTTTAAATTTATTTCCTCTAAAAGTCCCCCATAAAAGACTGGGATGTTTTAAAGGCTTCCATGGAAAAGAGAGAGAATAGGAGATCAAAGTCTTACTTACAGCTGACTCAGCTCTGCATCAGACCTGCCATAGTGTGAATTCTGCCAAACCATCATTACTAACTGTGATAAATATCTGTGGAATTACGTACTGTTTCATTCAGTTCCAAATACTGAGTTCTTACTAAATGCCAAGGTGCTATTCTAGGAACTTGCTATATGACAATGAACAAGCAGACAGGAAGCTCCTGCCTTATGGTATTGAAACTCAAATAGGAGTTGTAATCCCACCACTGTACAATTGAAGAAACCTGGATTTCTCTAGGCTTCTTACTGTTGCCATTATTTTATAAAATGAAAAATGCTGAATCTTGGGGTGACTCATCCATTTGCTTGTTCTTGCAGAGGTGACCAAGGAGAGAACATTGTGGGAAAAGACTGGCAAAGGTGACAGTGTCTGCTGGGAGATAATGGACATTTATTATTGTGTCCAAGATGTCATACTAACAAACTATGCACTTCACATATGCTATCCTATTTTTCACAAGAAACTAAGATCTACTGTATATCATAAATTTGCTAATGAGCTTATTCTCATATCTTCATTTCCCTGAAGTTGAGACGTGTCTTACAAGCCATGACCTCTTATCATTGCTGTTGGCATGGCAGGAGCAGTAACTGGGGAATTACCTGATGCTGTTGCTCGTGATCACAAATGTTCACATATGTATTTATGTTTTGTGGTACACAGGATTGGACCCAAACTAGGCAAGTGCTCTGCCTCCTTGCTGTATACTCAACTCTTGTTCATATTTTCAATATTTCAGTTGAATTGTGAACATCATTGATACTGCATATGATGGGTTATTCATTGGTTATACTGTCTTTATAGTTCTTGTCTGAAACCTGTTGGCACCTGCAGAATGAGGTGTTAAAGGGGTGGAAGAAAGTCTCTCAGACGGGGCAGTGTGTTAGGCAGGGCATGCATGGTGTGTCACCAATCCTATCAATGGAAGAGAGGGCAGTTTTGTATGGGAAAATGTAAGCATTGTGTCCTCATCTGATAGGGGGTTTTTTTGTTATCTTTTAAGGTACATGATATATGTTTTAATCAAGAGCACCTTGGATTAAATGAAATGCAGAATTATTACTCCTATTTTATAAATGAAGAATCTGAAGCACAATAGTATGGATTAACTTTCCTCAAACCCCACAGATAGAAATGGCAGAGCCAGGACTTAATCATGAACTGTATGATTTCAGAGTCTGTATAACTAATTAATCATTGTAATATATTTTTTTCTCAGGATAGGCGCATTGGAGGTTATCACAGCCTGATTCATTTATCCCATTACTCAGTATTCATTGAGTACGTACTATGTCCCTGATATTGGCATATACTTGGGGACAGGGTTGAGCAAGAATTTGGAGCTACCATTATGGCATTATGGGTTGTATCTCTTATTAAGGAAATATGTCTTAATAAAATATTTCAGTAATGACAGGTGTGATGAAGAGCTATATGATGCTATTAAAATGTAAAATGATGGGATCCCTCATGATGTGGAAAGTCAAAGAAGGCTTTCTTGATGAAGAATCTTTTGCATTAAAAGCAAATAGACAATGAGTTTATGGGGGAAGAGCACTCCAGAGACAAGAAATAGCATGTAAAAAGACCCAGTTAACAGTGTTTTCAAGTTGGAAAAAAGTCATGTAGTGTGTGTGTGTGTTTGTGTGTGTGTGTGTGTGTGTGTGTGTGTGTGTGTAGATGGAGATGAGAGGGTTGTAAGATAAAAGTATGTAGACAGATAGTAGGGAAACAGACAGACAGACAGACAGATAGATAGATAGATAGATGTAAGATAACACATGGCTCTGTGGTCTCTTGCTGGGCATGGTGTGCTTGCCTGAAATGTCAGCACACCACGCTGAGGCAGGAGGCAGGAGAATCAAAAGTTCAAATCCAAACTAGGTAATTTGAATAAACTTTGTCTCAGATAAAGAAAAAGAAGAAGAAAGGAAGGGAAGAAAGAAGAGAAGAATAAAGAGAAATTATAGTCTTTATCCTAAAAGCAATGTTATTCTCTCAAAGTTTAGTTGTTGCAGTTATTGACCTCTACTTAGCTAAAATTCCATTTTGTAAATATGAAAGAATGTCAAAGGATGTCAAAGGCTGACTCACATTCTGCATACAGTAAAAACCTTGGTAAATAGCTCTGTATGTGTAAACCACAGTTATGTCCCTCTCTTTCCTTTACTGAAGCCAGCAGAAATCTTTCCTGCTGTGCTGTGATTTGCAATTTCTTTTTTTCCTCTTTTCTTTTCTTTTTTCTTGCTGTCTTGCTTTCTTTCTTGATTTCTCAATTTCTATCAATAATATTGATTGAGAGAGAGAAGGAGCTGGGAGCTGGGAAGGGTGGTATATCCTTCCAAGTGAAACCAGTGGCCCAATGTCCCAGCTCTTTCAGCTGAATTCCACCTCCTAAGAGTAAGTCAGATATAAATTCTATGAGCAAATGAGGCTTTGGGGGGACAACTATACATAAACCATAACAGTGATTGATAAAAGAAACAGCAGAGAAAAGTTAGGAAATCTAATTTTGCTCTTTCACTTGACAAACACGCCAATCCAGGCCATTCCTCTTAGGTAGTCTTTCTCCTCTCCCTTTCTTTATCTTAACTTTCTTTTACATACAGAGTGTGGCTGGGGAAGACATTGCTAGATCTGGTAAAGGACATAGACAAAGATGGACTAATTCTAACACATTCATTTTCCCCATTGCAACAAAAGTAGCAGCAATAACACAACCAGCATGTACTGAATGTTGTCAGGGCCCTTTCCATCTCCAAGTCTTATAAGAAAAGACATCCTTTATAAGAAAGTGACCTTCCTAGTTAATAAGAGCTGAGCCTCAATCTTTGGACCTAACTTAACTCAGATCAACATGAGTATACTTTTGCACTAACCAAGAATAAGTGCTGAGATGGCTGGAAAAAAATAATTTGATTTATGTAGAGAAACAAACTTAGCACTGGGTAGATTCTGTCTCAATTAAAGGAAAAATTACATCATAGGTAAGTTTCCCAAAGTTATGGAGTTCTAAGAAAGAACTTTGGGGTATGGAGTGATATAGTTATATAGGCAGGTGCCAATGAGGACTTTTTTAGGTTTGACTTTAGGTACTTCAACATGGAAAATCAAGTTTAATCACAGTTGAAGTTACATTAATCTAAGAATAAGGGCTAAGTTTGGAGAGTGGCTTCTACATGGAGAGTGTTCATTTGGTTGAGAATATCATTCTGAACTCTTTCCTGGGGCAGCTGGTGAGAAGAGCCACTATCTCTGCTGAGGGATGTTCAAAACAATCAGTGTAATTAGGGCACATATCTGAGACTGACCAAGGGGAGAGCAGTATTTACTCCCAAGCCACTCTATGCTACTTTAAGAAGTGACCATTTGTTTATTTCTCTAGATTTTTTCATCTGTCCAAATTTAGTCTATCAATGATTTATGAAGAGTATTCAGTTTACTAGTTATCTGCAAAAGTTAATTTTCTGCCATACCTTACCTACCCTGGCTAAATATTGTTCTCATTACAAAAAACACTGAAACACTGAGCATGTCAAAAATTTCAGTGCCTTTACCAGTCTTTAGGATGATTACTCTCTATTATATTAGAACATAGAGACTATTGGGGACTGTTGGGGAATCCAAAGGAGGAAAGCAGGAAGGAAAGAAGAAGGAAGGGAGGGTAGGAAGACAGGAGGATAAGAGTGAAAGAGAGAAGGAAGAAAGCCAGTATTTTCAAAGGGATCATAATCTGACTGGAAAGGCAAAAATGAAAACTCGGTCATCTCCGTGACCCTCTTCCTTATGGCTCTCAAACACCTGGGATGGGCAGATACCACCCAGACAGCTTCATATACATTATCCCTTGTGATACTCTCCATGACTTTGCGGAGGTAGCCATTAGAACCTAGCTTACAAAAAAGAGAAAACTGAGCCCCAGGGAGTTTCTGGCTTGGTAGTGGCTGAGTCACTGACGTCCACGGGGATCTGGCTGCCTTTCGAGCCTACGATTCTGTTCCTGCACACTCACTGCCCCCACAAGAAAGTTCAAAAGCCAAACACAGGTGACTAATCACCAGCTTCATTAGCAAAGAAAGAGCCAGTCCCGACGCGGAGGAGATTCACTCCTGGCTGCTGTTGCTATTTATTGGCTGGACCGAGTCTAAGTTCTCACCCTTGTAATGTGTGGGAGCAGATTCCAGACTTGTAAAGTGTATAGAAACCACGCAGTGTGTGTTGTTATTATATGCGTTATAGATGGGGTAGAGAATAATACAACACAATAATACAACACATCCTGCTTCTTCTTAGAGGTCCAGCTTACAGATTTTAGAATATATTAAATTTGGGTACATGATCTTCCCTCTATTTCCATTTCTATCTAGGTAGAAATAGAAATAAGTTTCTGATTGTAGTTGGAATCCTATGTGTAGTTTATTCCTGTAATCACTCATCTAACCAATATTTATAAGCCTCTCCTAAGTGCCTGGCGATTTACCAGTTACTGCTCACACAGACAGAGAAGCCACAGCCTTTGTCTTTAGGATGCTAGGTCTCACTGGAGACAGACAGAGTTGCCAGTCACAGAAGTAAAAAGTAAATAGCCGGGCGTGGTGGCTCACACCTGTAATCCAGCACTCAGGAGCTGAGGTGGATCGTTGCGAGTTCAAGACCAGCCTGGGCTACAAAGTGAGCTCAAGGCCAGCCTGAACTGCATAGTGAGACCCCGTCTCAAAAAGACAAAAAAAAAAAAAAAAAAAAAAAAAAAAAAAAAAAAAAAAAAAAAAGAAGTAAAAAGTACAGAAGTCTCTGGTAAATATTTCACGAACCTACTTAGATTAAAACATTATCCTTTGTTTAAGTGATCCTGAAGTAGAACTATGCACCATATATTTTGTCTGGCCATCTTAGGCAGACATGTAAACTCACCTCACCCAAGAAAACATGGCTGTTCTAAAGGATCTGCAATTAGGCCTCTGTAGCCATAAGAGGAAAGGAACACTTTGTCCTGTCAGAAGGGCCAAAGGGACGCTTTATGAAACTGTGTGGTTGACTTGAAGGAATTCAGTATGTGCTGGATGGTCTTAAAGAAGCAGTAAGATTTAATAGGCAGAGATAGGAGAAGAAATTTCTGGAAACAAAGAAGAGTATAGAGTTTGAAAAGTATGCTTGGGGTGTATGGGCCATGGAAAGAGCGAGAGCCAGACTGTGAAGGATTTGGTAGAAAGGTGAAAGACTTGAACTTCATCCTGCCATTAATAGGAAACCGCTTAAAGGCTAGATTTGACATTGTTTTTCTTATTTTATATAATCAGACTTTGGCTAAGCAGTGTGCTACAAAATGTGAGCCGTGGGCTAATCTAATGCTACTGTGCGTAAGACAATTTCAGGTAATAATTTCTGATGATTTGAAGTAGTATGGAGATTCAGCATTAAATAACATAGCCAGGTAGAATATTAATTTCTCTCTTAGAAACTGAAAGCTCTAATTTTATTTTTAATGGACTGTTAAAAAATAAGACTTTTTTCTTAGAGCCGTTTTTTAGAGCAGTTTTAGGATTAATGAAAAACTGGAAACCCCAGAGAGTTCCCAAATATCCATTCCTTTTTGCTTGTTTGTTTTTGTAGTACTGAAGATTGAATCCAGGGGTGCATGCGCATTAGGCCAGCACTCTACCGCTGGCCATATCTGGGCTCTTTTAGTTACTATTTCGAGACAAGGTCTTAACCAAGTTGCCAGGGTACCTTCGAATCTGTGACTTTCCTGGCTCTGCTTCTTATGTGACTGGGATGGCAAATGTGTGCCACTTTGTCCATTTTTGTCCTATTTAACATCTCTCTGACAGTTGCTTATCCTGCTCAAGGGAGAGAGGAGAGAAAGAGGATGGTGGGGGGAGAGAGAGAGAGAGAGAGAGAGAGAGTAAGAGAGAGAGAGAGAGAGAGAGGCACTCAGCCTTTGAATCTTTGATGAATCACTTACTAAGTTAGAACCGAAAATGAAAGTCGTTTTGTTTTCAACACATGTATTTGACTTTGAAATTTTCTTCTCCTGGAACGATATCTGTCTTCTGTTTAAGCTGTGGTGATAAAAGCTGTGGTTTAGTAATATGTACTGTCAAAGCAAATGTAAAAGTTGTTTTAAAATCTATTTATATACAAAAAGTAGACCTATTAAGTAATAAAAAGGTGGCTGAAAGGTGACTAGGTGACCAGGCTGGAAAGTCTAACAGGGACGGTGAACCTTTTAGAGGTTTCAGTGATACAAAGAGCCTGCTGACATCTGTGTCATAGGTTTGTGACCACTGACAGGGCTAAGGAATTCTGACAGATTTTTTCTTTCTTTGTTTCTCTGGCTCTGTGTGTGTCTCTCTGTCTCTCTTTTTTGAGAGAAGGTCTCCCTATGTAGTCTGGGGCGTCTCTGCACTCACTCTG